CTCTCAATACTTTGAGGTTGATCTCCTTGGTGGTGAGTTCTTTGCCAAGCTCAGAAATCTCTCCAGTGAGGGTGAGGAGCCTGTCATACATCTTGGAGATGCTTTCACCAGGGAGAAGCTTGAAATCATCAAACTTCTTGTTGGCTATCGTCAGTTTGTTATCCTTCTCTTGCTCATCACCCGCTCCAATGAGCTCAAGAGTATCCCAAATTTCTTTGGCAGTTTTGCACTTCTTGATTCTGTTGAAGTACCTATCATCGATGGACTTGTAGAGGATGTCCTTTGCAATGTTGTCAAGGTTATACTTTCTTCTTTCTTCAGTAGTCCACTCAGATTTGGCTTTATTGATCATCTGAGGTCTGGTGTTGTCTATAACATGCTCAGGGTTGACCTTCTGAAAGCTTGTGAATGGCCCAATGTCAAGTACTTCCCACATCTCATCATGAAGAGCACAGAGATGTGCCTTCATCCGGATCCTCCAATCATCAAACTTAAGATCTGAAAACATGAGATTCTTGGAAAGAGAGTGATCCATAATATGAGATTAAAAATAGAGGCAAAAAGGAAACAAGTGGATCTTTGTTCAGCAAATAACCTAAGAGATTATTAGAACAAGGAGGCTCTGATACCACTTGTTGGTCCCGGTTATACTGGGTACAGTCTAGAGGGGGGTGAATAGACTGTACTGGTTTTTCTCTTTTTCAAGCTAAGTACCAGATTTAACAGAATAGCCTGTTCTGTTGACAGAACAGACTGGCAGCGGATTGGGTTCTGGTAGGGGTTCTGTCACATCAGCCTCAGAGAAGCAAAGGCAGTAGGCCTTCTGTTAACTCACAAGACACGTTCTGCTGAACACAGAGACCAAGTCTATGGAGTTAATCAATTCTAACTAAGTGCAAGAAATAAAAGCAGTAAGTAAATGACACCAGGGATTTTTATAGTGGTTCAAGGAACAACTCGTTCCTCTAATCCACTGTTCCACTAAGCTTGTAAAAACGTTCGTTTACAACGCCTTAGTCCTAGCACTTAAGAATCTCTCCACGTCTTCTTCAAGCCTAGATGTCTCCTGGAATTCACTTCTTGGCTTCCTTTAATACTGGTCCTTTCGCTGAGCTTCCCAGAAGTATCACCACTTCACTGCTCCAGTTACTTGGGCGTCCTTCTCGTTAGAGAAGAGTTTCTTCATGAAACAGGGGTTCTTCCAACTTTCTTCGTCACAAAAGATGTTTTGATGAAGTGCTTGAAGTGTTGAAGAACGATTGGAACTTTGCTTGAGTTGGAAACAAGGAGATGTGAGTAGATAATCTTTCCAACGTCTGCCTTCTCTTGTAGAAGATGATGAAGTTTTTTTCTCAAGGAGGCTTTTTTATTTTTGAATCTTTGAAGGTTTTTGTTTGAGCAAATGTTTAGGAAAAGATGTAGCAAAGTTATCCGGTTGTTCTCCGTAGAGTATCTTTTATACTTGGGTTGTCTTCCCGTTGGAGAAGGAGGACAATGCATTAAATGCGCGAACAGTTGACTTGACCAGTAGGACCCGGTAAGGTTGGCGGGTTACTATTTTGGGATAAAGTTATCCTGAAATATCCTGGAATGTCGGCCAATCATCAGCTTTTACTCTTCAGGGTACGGGGTGCATTAAATGTGCATTTAATGCGCGTACAGTAGCTTTTCCGTTGAAGTCTTCCAGCCGTTGAGGGAATCTTCAGATGGTTTCACCGGTTGTAGAGTTCCATGAAAATTCTCTAAGTGTCAGGCTTTCTGGTGTCTTCAGCAGAGAGTCTCCCAGAGAAGGTCTTGAGCACTTCTGTTGGAATAAGCTATCAGAGGGTCCTGAGATCTTTTGTCAGAGGCGAACCAACAGAGAGTCTTGACAGTTTTTGATGTAGTGTTGTCCAACAGAGAACCATAGGGTTTCTGTCTTAGTAAGAAACAACAGAGAGCCAAAGGTCTTCTGTCAAGACCAAGCCTATCAGAAGGTCTTCTGTCAGGAGGTCTTCTGTCAGTCGACTATTCTAAGAAACTTTACAAGGAAAATTTCTAATACAATAAATCTAAAGAGAGGGTACTCTAAAGTCCTATAGCATCCTCAAAATCTAATTACAATTATTCCTTACAATTTCCCCCTTTTTGATGATGCCAAAACCCTTTAACTATTTCCAGAGAAGTGCCTTCACCATAAAAGCATTAAAGTTTAAAACTTTCATTAAAATCTTGGTGGGCTACTTGGCATAGGAACATAGTAAGTGTACGGTACATTCAAGATAGCAGATAATAAAAAAAATAAACAGATTTGAAAAGAAAAACATACAAAGCAGCAAGTAAGAACAGGTATGGAGTAATTGCCTTACAGATTGAAAGGCATAGATGATCTTTTATAGATTGAAAGATTACAGGGGTGTTCAATTACAGAATTCCCCTTTCAGCTGCAGCTCTGGCTTGATCATCTAGTCCTTGTAGTCTTTTCAATTCAGCATTAACTTCTTCTCTGATTTCTGTGAGATTCCCAGATCTTTGATAAGATGCCCATACAGGTGAAAGTTTGCAGTCTAGGTAATTAAGAACACCTTCATGGTTGTCCTTCCCTGGAAGGATTCTATTGGGAAACCAGTATTCTGCTTCTTCCAAGGAACCACCATGCTTGACTCGAACTCGTCCTTCTCTGTCTAAGTAGATGTTCTTTTGTTGTGTGGGGGTCATCTTCATTCTCATTTCCTCAAATTGAGTTCTGTCAATTGTCTGAGATCCTCCTAATCTCCATTCTCGGAAGTTAAGAGTTGCTTTCTTCTTCTTAGATGTGTGTCTTCGAGGAGAGGAAGGTCTAGAGAATCCAGCTTCTTTCTTCTTCTGAATGGAAGCCTGGAAGTATGGGGTTGGATCAACAGAGGTGTATAAATCTGCATTTCTTAATGGAGAGCTTCAGGAGGAAGTGTTTGTTGAACAACCATTGGGATTTGCAAAGAAAGGAGAAGCTGACAAGGTGTATAAACTAAAGAAAGCATTGTATGGTCTAAAGAAGGCACCCAAGGCATGGTACATCAAGATTGACTCATTCTTCATCAACACATGCTTTAGAAGGAGTGAAAATGAGCCAACAATCTATGTAAAAAGGAAAGATATGAACAACTTCCTAATAGTCTGCCTTTATGTTGATGACATTATCTGTCTTAGCCCATCAGAAAGCATGCTAGCAAGTTTTAAGTCCTCAATGATGGGTGAGTTTGAGATGACAGATCTGGGAGTTTTGCAGTACTTTCTTGGCCTACAGGTAAAGCAAACTAAAGAGGGAACATTTGTATGCCAGAAGAAGTATGCAAAGGACTTGCTAAAAAGGTTTCACATGGAAAAATGTGAGATAGTCAAGACACCCATGAATACAAATGAGAAGTTACAGAAGGATGATGGCACTGAACATGCAGATGCTAGGCTATACAAAAGTCTAGTAGGAGGACTGAATTATCTTACTCACACTAGGCCTGATATAGCTTATTGTGTGAGTGTGGTGTCTAGGTACATGCAAAGTCCCACCAAGCAGCATCTAGGAGCAGCAAAGAGGATCTTAAGATACATAGCTGGAACTCTGGACTATGGTATATGGTATGAGAGTGTAAAACATTTTCATTTGAAGGGCTACACTGACAGTGATTGGGCAGGCTGTGTTGATGATAGAAAGAGCACATCAGGTTCCATATTTGATCTACGTTCAGGAGCAGTTACATGGAGCTCTAAGAAACAAGATACTGTGGCCTTATCTTCCTCTGAGGCTGAGTATATAGATGCAGGAGCTGCAGCAAAGCAGGCTTTATGGTTGAAGAAACTTCTGAAGGATTTATGTTGTGAGCAAGAAGAGGCATTGGAAATCTGGTGTGACAACAAGTCAACCATAGCTATGACCAAGAATTCAGCATTTCATGCAAGGACCAAGCATATTGATGTACACCATCATTTCATCAGAAACCTAGTAGCTGAAGGCAAAGTTGTTCTGCAATTTTGTGGAACAAACTCTCAGCATGCAGACCTTCTCACAAAGGCCTTAAACCAAGCCAAGCATCAGCATTTCATGAGGCAAATTGGCATGTGCAAGTTTGGATCAAGGGGAGGTGTTGAACATGATCAAACTTGAACATGCATACGTGGAGAGTCATGCATGCAGTCGGAATAAAGAAGAAGAACAAGTCTTTGTTTTATTTCCTATTCTTTAGGAGCTGATTAAGTCATTAGTTGGTTAAGCATATTTCTCTCCTTTGTTTGTTAGTAATGCCACATTATTAGAGCATCCACACTCATGCTTCTAACATAATCTGATTTTTTGTGATTCTTACCTTTTAATATCTATCACATAATTGTTTTAGAAATAATCTTGTCCCCTCTAAATTACTTTCAACCATCATCACGAAATAATATAATCTTTTGTGGGTCATTTATTAACTAATTAACTCTAACTTCACAAATAATCTCAAAATAATCCGGTTTCATATTTTGATCTCAGATTATTCTATCAATTAATCATGTCAAATAATCTCTCTCACCCAACCATGCTCTCCGAAATAATCTGACATGTCACTAGAATAATCACTTAATAATCTCATGGATGGTGATGCTCTTAGGATAATAGATAGTGGCCAACGTATTTACATTTCAGTTACTAAGAAAGGCTCTATATAGCCATGTACGTTCGTTCCTTTCAAGTATGAGAGCAATACATTAAATTGAGTTCCTTTTCTCTGTTTTATTCCCATATATATTTGATCTTTGTTCCTTCAATAAATGCATCCCAAAGTATAGGGCATGTGTGAATATATACATGGGTAGGTCGCGGTAAGTATTTCCTTACCCAAAATCTTACTATTATTATATACGTAGTATAATTATAATTTATTAGTAGTATTAATATATTCACGCTATTCCTTTAATAATAATTGGCTTCCCAATACGTGGTAGCAAATGAACAATTTTGTTTGAATAGTCAACCTTTTTAGCCATTAGCCATTAATGTTGATAAACTCATCTATTTTTTTTTTTTTGGAAAAAGTTTATTTTATTGAAGAAAATAAAACAGTACAATCTGAAATGGAAATAAAAGAACAAAATAAAACAGTACGGAAAAAGTAAAGTCTAAGATTACACCCAAGGAAATTCTCTAGACTGAGATCTAGTCTTCATGTTGTGCCGCCGCTTATTCTTTTGTGATTTTCCTGTAGATTTTGATTTGCGTGTTCAAATTGTCAGTCGACAGGCAATTTTCTGAAGTAATCAATTTTGATTTTTTGCAAATCGCGTTGTTGAATTTTGATTTCGCAATTTCTGCTGGAGTTGAGATAGAGGGACGACGATCGCTTTCAGTTGCATGTCCAAGAAAGTCGTCCATGTAAAAAGAATCGTCTGATTGGTAAAAGTTATATGAAGCATCTGAATATGCCTGCACCAGTCTGTGTTGTTCACTTGGAATTGGAGAGCATTTTTTCTCTGAGTATGCTTCCTGGATTTGACAATCAAAAATAAGCTTAGAGATTGATGTTGGTTCCTGTGTGATCGACGTGATTTCTGATAGTTGGTGCATCGGTTCCTCCTGTACTAAACCTGAGACTCCCACGATATTAGAAAAGACCGCCATGAATTGGAGCAAGCTTGATTTCCTTTTTCTTTGGCAATCTTTACGAAGCTACCAGCTTCATTAGAATTTGAAGAGACCGAGATAGGCCCAAATTTTCTTAGTTGCCGGTAGAAAAGTTCGGTTCCTGAGAACTGATAAATATAGCGAATGATTAGAGGAGCCAATTCTAGGTTGAAACTAAGCTTGTGCAACTGAGACTTCTTGATTTCCAAAATTACAATTTCACCATTTCTGATTCCAAAATTAATTTGATTCTGATTCGGTCAAATCCTTGTTGACCGAAGAAATGAAAATTTTCAGAGCCCTCTACAATAGCAGCAGGTTGTGACGGGATATCTGCATAAGAGGTAATAATTTCATTAGTCACAATAATCTTATCAGCTATTGGATTGGTTCTTCCGTTGGAGAGAGTTGGAGTTTGGGCCCATGTTGTTTTAACCTTGTCACCCCGGAGTATATCAGCCCATGATCCGGATGAGGTACTTGGGTCGAGTGTTTTCTCTGCATCTCTGTGCGCATTGACAGTATTAGGCTGGGCCTCACTTGCAACTTTGTGATCCAGGCTGGCCTCCTTCTTTAGTGGACCTCCCGACGTTGTCTTATCGACTTCTTCATTTCCGACTAAGGTTCCCGGCGCAGATGATAAACTCATCTAATATTCATTGCTTTATTATTATTATTATTATTATTACTACTATTATCATTATTGTTATTTAAGTTATTATTATTATTATCTCGGCTTAAGTCAAGTCAAACTAGGAAGAATTTATTGGGACGCAGGGAGTACTATGTAATCTTTGTATAATATCTTTGTATAATATAAAGAAATTGGGTAGACAATTGGATTTCTCCAATTATTCCCGTCTATTGCTGCATTGAATCATTCTTCAAATCATAATATTTAATTAAGTTATTTATTATATATGGTAAGCAATGCATACTAAAGGAGATGCTTGAATGTGAGATGTTTGACCAATGCATGAGACCCAAATGATCGAGGGTGAATAACTTTTTTACTGAAATTGAGCTAGAATAACTTAGTATACCAATTTTATAATTAATAATATAATCAAAATCGGCATACAATTCAATCCACCACAAGAAAATTGAACAATTGCGATGAACAATTTTCGACCAACGTTACATTTACTCGAATTATAATGAAAATATGCATTTTTTGGACCATATATATTATCGCACCACATGTATGCGATTACAAGGGTAAATAAACATAAAATTTGAACAAATTAAGGAGTCCATTATCAACGTCCATAATTACTTGAATCCAATTACAATTCTAGAAAATTATTCAAATTTGTAATGACATACATAGAATACATCATCTTTACCATTTATAGATTCAATGGATATGAAAAAGTAGCCATAATTTACAAAAATTAAGTGGATAAAAATGTAGATAAAAGAATAAAATAGAAAAGTAAAAAATTAGTTTCTTCAATTTAAAAAAACATATTTTTTTAGTCTAAAAAGAATTATTTCTCTTATAAAATAAAACTCATTGAGTAACAAATTTATAATAAAAAGATACTAGGGTGAGCACATCGGTTTCAATTCGGTTTCAATATCAATTCGATTCGGTTTGAAACAGATTGAAATCATACTATGTTTAGATTTAGTTCGTATTAATTCAGTTCGTTTTGGTTTGAATTTGTTATGTTTAAAAACATATTAAGAATTTATTGACTATTTGAGTTCAGCTCAACCTTATTCGATTTCTCACGGTCTCAATTTGTTTTAATTTGATTTAATTTGATTTGAAAGACATACCACTATTTTGAGTTTAATCCAACACGATATAATAAATATAGATATAATTTGATATAAACACTCGATCTTTACGTGGAAACCCGAAAGGGAGAAAACCACGGGACTGTTTTGGCTAATGTCCAAGCCCACTCATTTTATTAATGCTCTCCTCATCAATACATTGTACAAGCTCCCATTAATAGAATATTAGACTAACTATTTAGAGAGAGAGAGGAGAAGCGAAGGGATCCTTTATTAGGAGGGAAATCCTCCTATTTATAGAGGAAAGGAGGAGGGGTACTCCACCCTAATGGGCCAAATGGGCTACGATGGGCCGAATGGGCCGATACGGGCCTGATAGGCCTAAACGGGCCTCATTGAACGGGCTCCGTGCTAAGTAATGTCTTGGGATCCTGAACAATGGTAGGCCGGGGTGATATATATCAACACAAGTCCCCCAGTTTCTTGAGTAGTGAGCATGCGAATCTGCTCGAGAAAGTATACTCTTGCTCGCGCTCTTCCTTTGTCTTCCTTGGAGCTGTGTCTTCAAGCTATCCTACTACATGAGTGGGTGTCTGCCCCTCTGAATGTAATCTGTCGATAAGGTGCTCCCCTCCCGACTGGATCGGGCAAGGGACGCTCTTCCCCGGACACTCCCTCCTGAATGTATCAGGTGGGAGTAAAGGACTCTGACTCGGCTTTCCAACCGAGAAGCTTAGATGCCCCTACACATATAAAGGTGACGGCCCCGAGATACGATGTATGTGTGTATGCATGAATCTATGAGATATGATGCATGAATGTATGAATGCGTGCAATGTATGAGTGCAATGTATGACAGAGGGTGTGTCAGGCGTGCTATACAGTGGCGGGTCCCATCCTAAAAAGGAATGGTGATCCCAAACATGAACAAGACACGATGGCACAGAGGGGCCGATCGTGCTGCATAATATGGTGGTCGACATCTTGGAAGGTATGGCGAGCCGATCGTGGACGAGATACGATTGACGCTGAGGGGCCGATCGTACTGCATAAGACGATGGTCCCCATCCTGGAAGGAATGGTGATCCTGACCGTGAATAAGACACGATGGCGCCGAGGGGGCGATCGTGCTGCATAAGACGGTACTCCCCATCCTGTAAGGAATAGGCGGACTCGACCGTGAATTAGACACAATGGCGCTGAGGGGCCGATCGTGCTGCATAAGACGGTGGTCCCCATCCTTGAAGGAATGGGTGATCCCGACCATGAACTAGACACGATGGCACCAAGGGGCCGATCGTGCTGCATAAGATGGTGGTCCCCATCCAGGAAGGAATGGGCGAACACGACCGTGAACTAGACATGATGGCGTTGGGGGGGCGATCGTGCTGCACAAGACGGTGGTCCCCATCCTGGAAGGAATGGGTGAGCCCGACTGTGAACTGGACACGATGGCGCTGAGGGGCCGATCGTGCTGCATAAGACGGTGGTCCCCATCCTGGAAGGAATGGGCGAGCCGACCGTGAACTGGACACGATGGCGCTGAAGGGCCGATCGTGCTGCATAAGACGGTGGTCCCCATCCTGGAAGGAATGGGTGAGTCCGACTGTAAACTAGACACGATGGCGCTGAGGGGCCGATCGTGCTGCATAAGACGGTGGTCCCCATCCTTCGAGGAATGGGTGAGCCCGGCCGTGAACTGGACACGATGGCGCTAAGGGGCCGATCATGCTGCATAAGACGGTTGTCCCCCCCATTCAAGAAGAAATGGGTGAGCCCGACCGTGAACTAGACATGATGGCGTTGAGGGGCCGATCGTGCTGCATAAGACGGTGGTCCCCATCCTGGAAGGAATAGGTGAGCCCAACCGTGAACTAGACACGATGGCGCTGAGGGGCGGATCATGCTGCATAAGGCTGAGATGATCGTCTCACGGCCCTCGGCCGTGCTGGTGGTCTGCAGGCCCTCGGTCTGTCCGAAATGATAGTCGTCTCACGGCCCCCATTCGTGTTGGTAGTCTACAGGCCCTCGGTCTGCTGGTGAATGATAATAGTCTCACGACCCCCGGCCGTGCTGGTAGTCTACAGGCCCTCGGTCTGTCCATAAATGATAATCGTCTCACGGCCCCCGGCCGTGCTGGTAGTCTACAGGCCCTCGGCCTGGTTGTGAATGATAATCGTCTCACAGCCCCCAGCCGTGCTGGTAGTCTACAAGCTCTCGGCCTGTCGATGAATGATAATCATCTCGCGGCCCTTGATCTGTAGAGCTGAAGAATAAAGAGTTCATTTTTTCCCTTTGTGTATTCTGTGTGTATCGACTCTCTCCGGTCATCTCCCCCATTTTTTATGGTAATCGTTCGTTCAACCACCTTCTCACCGGTCCTCTGCAGTGCCCGTTGGGCTTGTGCTTTCGCATCTCTGGCATTGGGGGTCGTGCTGCGTGAGGTCAATGATCTTGATGAAGAACAGCTCTATCCTTTGAGATTCCCTGGTCCCCTCTCTATCTTTTTTTAAGGGTCTTTTTTTCGTTCAACCACCTTCTCACCGGTCCTCTCCAGTGCCCGTTGGCCTTGTGCATTCGCAGCTCTGGCATTTGGGGCCGTGTTGCGTGAGGTCCATGATTTTGATGAAGAGCAGGGCTATCCCTTGAGATTCCTTGGTGCCCCTCTCTATCTTTTTTTTGAAGGGTCTTTATTTTCATTCAGCCAGGTTCTCAGTGGTCCTCTGCAGTGCCCATTGGGCTTGTGCATTCACAGCTCTGGCATTTGGGGTCGTGCTGCGTGAGGTCATGATCTTGATGAAGAACAAGTCTATCCCTTAAGATTCCCTGGTGCCCCTCTCTATCTTGTTTTTTGAGGGGTCTTTGTTTTCGTTCAACCACCTTCTCACCGGTCCTCCGTACTGCTCGTTGGGTTTGTGCATTCGCAGCTCTGGCATTTGGGGTTGTGCTGCGTGAGGTCGATGATCTTGATGAAGAACAAGTCTATCCCTTGAGATTCCCTGGTGCCCCTCTCTATCGTTTTTAGGGGTCTTCGTCTGTCGGTTCCCTAAATGAATCCAAGCAGTGCCAAATCTGATGGTGCTAGGATACCGATCCGTAATATGACGATAAGGCAATGCAAAGCCAATCGTCATACGAAGGCGATGGTCACCATCCGGAAGGGGAGCGGTGAGCCCGATCACTAACTCCAGAAATTCGGCGTTGGGAGCCGATACTAATATAGATAATCAAATTGTAACTGAGACGTTGGTCCTGGTGAGTAGAGGACAATAGTGTCGAATCAGGCACAAAACATCCGAGCAACGCTCTCATCGCGCAGCGCGGGTTGAGACCGGTCTTCAAAAAAGACAATCATGTCGTGTCGAGCAGCCGATCGTGATGTATGAACGTCGGCAACGAGGGGCCGATCAAGAATATCTAAGCAATGGTCCTCATCCGTGCAGTGCGGGGATGAGACCGGTCTTCAAAAAATATAATCACGTCGTGCTGAGCGTGATGTATGACTGTCGGCAATGAGGGGCCGATCAAGAATATCCAAGCAACGGTCCCCATCCGCGCAGCGCGAGGATGAGACCGGTCTTCAAAAAAGATAATCACGTCGTGCCGAGCGTGATGTTTGAACGTCGTCAACGAAGGGCCGATAAAGAATATCCAAGCAACGGTCCTCATCCGCGCAGCGCAGGGATGACATGTACCACTCCGGCCCTGTAGGCCCCGAGGTAGTTACTTCTGATCTCTAGTACTGTCCTCACAAATCGCCACTAGCCTTTTCCGCGCACTTTGTCCTCACTCGTGCACGCCCTGAGAAACTTCCCAGGGGGTCACCCATCCCAAGACTACTCCCGTGCAAGCACGCTTAACTTTGGAGTTCTTGGCTAATGAGCTCCCTTAAAAGGAGATGCACCTTGTTGAAATGAGTAGTACTATTAATCCGTTTAAATTTAATCTCAAGTATTACAATCACCCCCACTTAGGATCGCAACGTCCTCGTTGCGCCCTTAAACCAATCTCAATCAAACCCCAGAATCTTGCCCCGCTAAGTGCCCCCCCCCCCCCCCCGATATCCAACGGATTAGCACACTGTCGCAGGGTTGCTCTGATACCACCTGTAACACC